GACTAGGCACTTCTTAACGCTTCCGTATATCTCTACCTATACGTTGGCAACAACCGGTTACAAAAAAAAAAAAAGGATTAAAGGGTTGTTTATAGTGGAAAGTGCACTTAGCTTATCCAGCTAGTTTACAGGCACTCCACTCAACTACTTAGAAACAAAAAATTTAAATACAACATAACAGGATGAAAAACCCCAACTGGCAGTAGGCAGTCAGTTGGCTATTTACAAGCGTGGCCGAGGATTTCAACTCGGGACTAGCTACCGTGAACAAATCCAGCAAGTGGCCAGAGCGAGACTCGAACTCAGGGGCTGCCGGATTGCGAGTCCGACGCGCTGACAACTCGGCCACGCTGCCTCCCGAAATTTACGAAAAAAAATAGGATTAGTTAACCGCAAACCACAGGTTTTTTTTCTTTTTACAACAAAGCACTTCTTTGGGTTTAGCCTGAGTCTATGTTCACACTAGCTATACCGGCTAGCTTTTACGCCGGAGCGAAAACAATACCTTATAGTGCTTCTGTTCACACATAAGACCGGTGATTTCGGCGCGATTTCTGCAACGGAGCGAAGCGCCGCGCCGGTCTCGAAAGAGGAGCATCCAAATAGGATTGGTTCTGTGGCACACTTGGCGCAGTGTGAACAGGTATTCGGAACGTAGCGGGAGTAAATAAGTAGGAACGAGGCCTGAAGTCCACTGAGACGGAAGTTAATATTCCGAAATGAGGACTGGGATTTAGTTCACCAAACCCCTCTCGGCCAACCACTCCTGCGCGTTGTTCGATATGTGTGAACGACTGTGAACGACTTGTTCCAGTTCTGCAGCATTGCTGTTCACACTATAGCGAACTACCAAGACGATGAGCTATCCAGCGTAGTGTGAACAACGCCTGAGAAGAAAAGTCGACATTTGCCGACGCCACCACTGGTTTCCCCGCGAAATGAAGGTCCAATATAGTTGGTTAGGCGGATCGCAAAGAAATGCACGAGAACCGTGTTGGGACTGGGCCAGGGACTGATGGAAGCCTGGGACAAGCTAAATTCCACACTGATGACGCGTCACTACCCAGAACTATGTAGTGCTTCTGATTGGTTGAAAGGTTGCTTCAAACAATCAGAAGAACTACCCAGATCTGGGCAGTGACGCGTTATCGGTTTGGAATTTCTAAAGTCGTTCCTGGCATTGCAAAATGTCGGCTGATTTCTCATGCTACATGAGCTTGCAAAGTATTCTACCTAAATCAAAACCGCAACAGACACAAACGAACGCCATAAGAACTTTTGGAAAGTGCAGTAAAGGATAAGCATAGTACACAACATATCTACAGCTCATAATTAAGTTGAGTCAAACGAAGGAGTAACACAAGTACAACGTAAAGATTACTGACAAGCGTACAGATGTTCAAGGTGGTTTAACTATACCAGCCCTCTCAAATGAGATAAACAATTGAAGAGCGTTTTGCATTTACTCATGGGCATAAATTAATGATAACAAGACTTACAGCTTGCATTCCTGGGAGTTTGTCTGTTCTTTCAACGAATTTGGGGTCACTAGAGTGAGGTAAAGTGAAAGTATTTGATCAGTGTCTTTTGTAAACTTCATTGGAAATGTTAAAAATTGTTCCACACTGAAAGTAAATTTACAAAGTTTTTGTTGGAACACCATAGCAAATTAGACTAAAAAAAACAACAACAAAAACAACAACAGCTGCCAAGATAAACTAGATGAAAGATAATAGGCATGACATCATATTTTCGAGCATGCGAAGTACTTATCAAGCTTTCGATCGCTCTTTCGTGACCAGGAAACCTCAACAGCACACAAAACAAAAAAAAACAGTCATAAGAATTGATATCATCAAGAATTTAACTTCGTTTCAGTTGCCGATTACCCAGATCGCATCTGTACGTACCCAATATACTGGTTAACATTCTCTGCGGGGATAGTGAACTCTCCCTCAAACGCATCTCTAGCCCACTGAAAAATTTCAAGCCATGTTTACAGTTATTAATCAAAATTTTACAATCTAATGAGTACATAATAAATGATAACTTCAACTAGACAGCAAGGCCTACACGACACATGACCACAATAGAGGCGTTTGTTAATACTCCGGTTGCAAGAAACTCCTTTATTTCGGCTCGACATTCCAGCGCTAATTAATTAATATCACGTGAAATCACAAAACTGCTATGGCAATGTTTCATACATCCCAGTGGTCGGGATCTACGATGATACGGATGAAGATGTCAAGGCATTAACAGATGCTGCTAATCAGCAAGATGAATTACAAGGGGCTATATTTAATCAAACTTTAGCCAAAATGTATGCTTTACACTTTTCAACGCTTGAAGATCTCAGCCTGGACAGTCCTGATTGCAGTGAAATTCCCAGACTGTTCTGGCTAGTCAATTCTTAGTAACGGCGGGCCTAAGCTCCACACCAACCACCTTCAATAACCGTTACACAGAACTATGGTTCATACCTGTAGGGTATGTTCGATAGCATTTGGAAAATTCTTCAACGTACAAATGGGAATTGATTTTTCCGGTGGATCTTGTGAAGAGCTGTAAGATTCTGTTAGGCGAGGAAGCACAACCTGAAAAAATGCACGTTAAAGAATAAGAGCGATTTTTAGCTGCAGGTTTCGTGGGAAATAAATAAAAAAATAAACTGGACAATGAACACAGCCCACGTGAAAAACGAAATAAAGGGAAGGGGCAACGGGCAAAGCGCAAAAGGGAAAAGGATTTCAACGTGAAGCCGATAATAGATTGGCGTAATTTTAATCCTCCAGAGCATATACCAATAGGAGGTTACCTGGTCACGTAAAACAATCCGTTAAACAATGAGTTTGAGTCTTGCAGATGCCAAAAATTGACAGAGCGCATTTTGGTCACGTGACCTGGTACGAACTTACTCATTTTAAGAAAATGGTGCGGATTTGAACAAACCAAATCACTACTATTTTGTTTAAGATATGACCCACTAATCGTTTTTCAAAGGCAAAATCATGTAACTTTCATTTTCATAAAAACGATGTCAGATGACCTCTTAGTGCAAAAAGCCTATAGAACATATTTCCTTCAATGCCTTCATTATGGTTGTTTGTTACTTAATAAACGTGAACAAGTTACTCATTTCGGCACAACCAATCAGAAATTTGCAACGCCTGTTCTTGACAGGCGCCCCTTTTCCTCCCTCCCCAATTCCTCTCCCTTTTCCCCTTCCTCCCAGCCCCATCGCCCCCCTCCCCCCCCCACCCGCCCTTCCCTTTCGACGTTCACCAGGCAGGCTAAATGAACCTATCTTGAGGAATGCTCTTTAAGCCGTTCACTAAACTCACAGTTAACATTTCATCATGTGTTAAACACTTGGTTGCGTCTTAGTTCAACATCTTAAATTTCTAAAATCAACGACCCCCAAAAAACAAACGTGAACTCCGGAATTCATGCAGGCCAATAACTCCTTGGTAACGATGCCCCAGATGGCACATGTAGCTACCGGAGAGTTGATTGTTTTCCTTTCTCGAAAGCTTGTTGGCAGGCTACGAGTTTGCACTCATACTGCAGTCAGACTAAACCTCATGAACTGAACAAGAACTACTGACTTCAGAAATTTCTTATTATTTTTAAAGTTTCTACCTGTACATTGCCCTTCGTTCCTAAAGTTCCTGATTCCAGTAGTGGCTTGTGATAATAGACACACCGTCTGTCCATGTACATTCCTGAAAAAACAAAATTTTTATGTATACGATCAACTCTCTTAGCTAATACCGACACCATTGGAACCAGCACTTGTTGTCCGTCTTACGGAGAGTCAAATATAAGGGGTTGTACTCTTCTCTTTTTCGGTCACCGGGAAGACATGTATTCTCAAAATAAAAGAAACAGTGGAATACTTACTGGCATCCACGTTGTCCAACGCATTTGTCACACCATCAAGTGCCTCAAAGAAATCATCATTGTATGTTTCTAGCACTGTTAAGAAAAACTTGCGATGACCTACCAAATAACTAAATTGGCAATAATTACCAAAATAATTGTAATTAATGGTCTAAGCAAGGCTGTATGGAACAAAAAAAAACGCGAGGGCCCTTGAATTAGCCATTGTTTCCCACGAATGTCACCTAGTCTGATCAAGGAGTCTAGATAGTAAAGCCAGCGCAAAGCAAAACGACATGGAGGCGAGAGGGTGGGGGTAGCGGGGAAAGGGAGAGGGGGAGGGAACGTATGCAAACCCTTCGTAACCTATGGTATAACCATACGGTTGGATTATTAAGGAAATTTTCAATGCTCGAACGTCTATAACCTTGATTGTTTGCGATGCGACAGCGATGAAATCAGTTCGTCTTGAAAACGTGGTGTGGGCAACATGGTGAAGGTGGAATATTATTCAGGATAGGGGTGGAAAATATATCCTCACAATCTTAGCAAGAAATTATTGGCTATAAACGATCTTCCTATACAAGTTCTTTACAAAAAAAATGCACACGTAGCAAGCTGAAAATATGATAATGAGCCCAAAAGACAATCTATTTTGGTTTCTGGGAAACTGCCCAACTACCCCTCCCTTAAGACAACATTAACACTAACTTCTCATTTAGGGCAAAATGTTGGCTTGGGGAAGGGATAGGTGGGAGTTTTCCAGAAACCTTAACTGATCCAAACATTCCCCATCCCTCTCCCTCTCTTCCGCTCCCCATTTTGCGTCACTCTCCACCCTGTTAGCGCCTGGAACGGTTAAGTATTACCTCAGCATGTCTCCTTGCAAGACGTGAATTCTAGAGCCCACTTCTTCTGCTTCCTCTGCTATCTATAGGCAAAAGAGGGCACTACTCGTGGTCTCCCTCGGCTAATAGTTATCACTTGACTGGCCAATTAGAGTGTATTCATTTCTAAATTCATGTAATAGAGCATGATTGGCAGTGTTAAAGGATACTTTCTGTTTCTGGGCCAACTCTGTTTTGGTGAGCCGTAATATTAATCTCAGGATTCATTACCTTGACCGCCCTCGCTGCAACCTCTGATTTCAATTGCTAAAACAACACCAAAACAATGATAGTACTACAAGGTGGAAAGAGGACAGGCTGTCTGTAAATAATTCCATTTACGTATAAACTGCCAATTAATAAAACCTGACTAAAGAAACTGCGGTTTTGTAGTGTTGAGGCAAACCAGTGGTGTACTCAAAACAGTCGCTAAAAAGTTATTCCCTTTATAGAACAAGGTAGCCTGCGAGCAACCTCTCCTATTTGGGCGAGCGAGCGGCGAAACCGTGCCTCCTCTGGCGTGCCTCTCACGCGTCGACTTTTCACGATATCCCCCAAATGGACAGCTCGCTCAAAGGCTAAGGACAAGGCTGGGTCTAAAACAAGGCACAATGTACATTCGCGCTGATGTCAAACTGGTTTGAACGTGTAAAGAAGTAAAGCCGTACCCACCTCCAAAGAGGCAACCACTGCTAGGGTTGTTCAGATCCCACCCACTCATTCCTCTCAAAAGTTTTGGCATTAGGCAAGCCAATTCTTGCAGGAGTGTTCACTCATTCATTCCAGGCCTTGATTGTTCAAATGTTGGATAGCACATCCACGGGATGGATCACTATCCAGTGAATAAGTATAAGGGAATGCAATTGCCTTATACACTGGATAGTAATTTATCCACCTTTTGAACAACTGGGACCAGACCTTAATGTTAACTCTAAGAGAAAGGGTCTTATTTTTCTTAGTGGTTAAACTGAAGTATCAAAATGTGCTCAAAGGTTTTTTAGGCAATAGAAGTAGCTCGACTTGGGTTGTTATACTCTAAATAATATTCCAGGAACATGAATTTGGCAAATTTTGACAGGAGCCCACCTTGCATTGTGCTCAATTCAAACAAGTCAGCACTCGGTTTGCAGCTCAAAAAATTGACTACATCATGAAATGTTGGTTGCTGAAAATATTTGCGTGAGTTGGATAAAATTTGACTTGACCTAGTTTATTTTTAAGGTGTGTAATATAAAAGTAGCCCGCAGGGAACAGACGTCTTTTTCGGCTCTTGTTTCACCTGCCGAGAAAATACCGGAGCCGAAAAAAGTGTCTGCTCCTGCAAGCTATTATAAAAGAGGTTCGTCTATCATTTAAGATAATGAAAGATTAAATATTTATTGCATCAGCCTCACCTGTACATCTCCTGGTCTGAAAAGAAATTGCCTGTTAAGGTTGGATTTTTCAATGGTGTCCATATCTGTGACAAACAGCTGCCCTGCATCACTGCAAGCTAAACCCATCATGGCAAAATTTTTGAGATGTTCACATCCAATAGCACCAGCACCAACCTGTAGCAACAACAATAATAATAACATTAAGACACTGTTTTCAAAGGAGCTGTTGGCTGTTGCATCCTGCAGCCACCGTTCTTAATTATTGCAATGATATTTTGCATGGCAAATGCTAGCCAGCATAGCAAGCATTACCACTTGAATTATTGCAAAAAAGTTGGAGCGAGAGCAAAAAAAAATGGAATGGGTTGGGGGAGGAGAGATTTGTTCAAAGAATAGAACATCATGTCTGTTTCCTTCAGACAAAACGATACTGTTAAGATATAGCACTAAATAAAATGTTAAGGTACTGGTACTCACAATAAAGTACTTCTGCTCTGACAGCTTCTTTTGAAATTCNGAAAAGAAATTGCCTGTTAAGGTTGGATTTTTCAATGGTGTCCATATCTGTGACAAACAGCTGCCCTGCATCACTGCAAGCTAAACCCATCATGGCAAAATTTTTGAGATGTTCACATCCAATAGCACCAGCACCAACCTGTAGCAACAACAATAATAATAACATTAAGACACTGTTTTCAAAGGAGCTGTTGGCTGTTGCATCCTGCAGCCACCGTTCTTAATTATTGCAATGATATTTTGCATGGCAAATGCTAGCCAGCATAGCAAGCATTACCACTTGAATTATTGCAAAAAAGTTGGAGCGAGAGCAAAAAAAAATGGAATGGGTTGGGGGAGGAGAGATTTGTTCAAAGAATAGAACATCATGTCTGTTTCCTTCAGACAAAACGATACTGTTAAGATATAGCACTAAATAAAATGTTAAGGTACTGGTACTCACAATAAAGTACTTCTGCTCTGACAGCTTCTTTTGAAATTCCGTTCCAAAGACTGCAATTTGTCCATCATATCTTGATCCGGTCTAAAGAGAACATCATCATCATAAGCATGATTGTCTCTTACAAAAATAAACCCCAGAAGGTTTAAACAGTCCTACTGGTCACAAAAAAATCTGCACTTATCCTCAATTATCCCTTTCTTTCCTAATACATGTATGTTTCTCTGGCAATAGGAAAAATCCAAAAAAAAGTGATATTAATTTCACTGTTAGTGTTCTGTTGAGTATAACCAAATGCATGAGCAATAAAGAAACAATGGAGTAACTAAAGAAAGGAAAACTGCACACATTTGGCATTAGGGAACTGAAGTATTAAAAGACGTTTTTGAGTGACGCATGTCAACAGGAAGTGAGGCCTTCTCCCTTTCTATAATTACGCCTTGATGCCTACAAATTTGTATTGCCTAGTGTCTTTTCCCTTATACAGACGATTCGCCCAATAGTTTGTACCAAACCTAAGTGCCCAAGGATGCAAAAAGTCCCCTTCCAGTTGACGTGTGTCACTCAAAAACGCTGTTCCTTAAGCTCCCTATTAATGTTTGGGGACACCATTCAACGATTGGCATAACTGTCGACTTCCATTATATGACCAAGAAGCCTCATTTCTATAGTGTTATGAGCTGAAGCCTTGGCCAACAACACAACACAACAATGCTCTGCAGTGGCAACACACCTAGGCCAGTGGTCACTAGAAAACTAGAGCAGTAGGAGCTGCAACCTAGATCAGCAATGCGCTGCAGCGACAGCACTACCAGCTGAAGCCTAAGGCCAGCCACGCACAAACCCAACCAACTGAATGACCTCTGTACCACACCTATCTCACCAGCTATATATGGAGCTATGCAAAAGTTCTCCCGACAAAAGTTCAATTTTGACTTGTAACACCATAGGATTTCATACACAGATTTTAAAGTTAGAGTGAAAAAAAAAAACAAAACAATTATGATAAAACATCTCCATACGTTGACGAGGAGTGAACGGGTTACTGTAGTTCAGTGAAATGAGTTTTTACCAAGTGAGTACAGGTGTATCTTCAGAGTTACCAAAAAGGTTATACATTGTACATGCAAAAATGTTTGAGTTAGGCTTGTTGATTATAAATAAGTTTTCACATCTATTAATTTTTATTCTTAAATATGTGTTATCTCACTTGTTGGCATGAGGCTTCTGATATTTCTCCTTCCTCTGGCAGGCATTCAAGACTATCAAAGTACAAAAGTTGAAAGATAGGACTAAACTTTCCACTGCAGGCCTAGAACAAGAAAGGCAAACAACAGTAAACTTAGTTGTCAAGTGACATTAATTGAGAACTTCCTTGATCATGAGACAGAATCTCTGATTGATATACATGTAAACACTAATAATATTATTGTAATGGGCCTGCAAAATTTATAAAATAACAATAATGATAATGATAATAATGATGACGATGACAATTATTTTCATTTTTTGTTATGATGTACTTGACAAGTTTTTCCCATTGATGGAAGCAAGTTCTTTAAGTCTGTCTGCAAAACAGCACCAAAATCCTTGTTCAAGGTCCCCACATACCTGTGTACAGCCAGGATTTGAGTACATGTCATGACTCACAGGTTTAAAATACCATTGTTGATTGGCCAATGAAGTTAACAGGAAATTTGAAACACACTTCTGATAATTCATTAAGTCCATTGGGGCCCAGAACAGGGATCTGGGCGCCGCTTTGTAGACGTTACTAACCGAGGTAAGATTACATGTACCTCTGCAACACAGGCTAGTGTTTAACCAAGCAACTGTTTCACATGACAAGCTAAAAAAATCCCCCTGCCACAAAATGATAGTCGGCAGGTTCATTTTTCATAGGATTTCATCAGACAAGGGCAAACTTCAAATATTAGACTTTGGCCAATGACTTACTGTGATTTGCAGCTTTGTATAACCTACAAATTAATGTACTGAAAAAGATGAGAATGAAATGGCCAACGTGGTCAAAAGAGTGTACTCAACCCAGGGGTGGGAAAGGTACACTAGGCTGACGTTTACCTTCATAACTTCCTGAGCTGTAATTCCTCCAATAACCCCCTGCATTGGACAAAGATCACCTCTTGCATTGTAGGCCAGTTGTGTCAGAAGATGCTCATCAACTTCATCCACCTATATTATTTTTCAGTGAAAGGAAAAAAAATTAAGAAAGGAAATGACAAGCAAATAATGAAAACAGGTTTGGGGAAATTGCTCAAGATTACATGTACATTTAATAACTGGTTGAATATTTGGGAAAATATTTGAAATTTAACTTTCAGGTTTGAGTTACCTGTAAACATATCTTTTCTGAATTGAGCTGTTTGGCCAGTGAAATGAACTTTTTAGCATCTTCCTGTGTGGTGTGGAAACAAAAACAGTTAAAAATATAAACCTTAAGATACACCATTTCTGTGAATGAGTACAAGAAAATTACAGGTATAGGTAGCCATAAATAAGGGTAGATTGACCCTTACCCCAGAGAAATGGCTAGGCTAATGGGTAAAATGATGATGCCAATTTCATTCTATGAAGAATAACTGTCAATACTTAGAAAATTACCTGATTTCTGGGTCTAGGGAGAACTCCATATTCTTTTACAAACTTATGCAGGGCCTAGTCAAAAGAACAGGAAAATTGATAGAAATAAATCAAAAGAAAAATTCAATTAACACTAGAAAACTATTTTATAATATTCACTCACTGCATATCCCAAATGAAGTTGTGCTGGCCTTTCCATTTTGCCAAAGTCTGTAAGAACAAACTCTGGTGCTGTGAGGGAATCCCTAAAAGATTTCTAGTGACAGAAAGAAAAAGCTAGACAAGTTAACAATCATAATAAATGGGTCTGCCATTAAACCTCCTCACATTCTACAGTTACAACAATGCAATGTACAAGATACAAACAAAAGAATTTAAGATGCAAAGTTTGCAACAGACAGTGTATTGTTGTCACTTTTTCACAGTTTCACACTTGGAGAAATGCTATTTTATTTACCTTTGCATCACACTGGTCACCATAATAAAAACAGGCACACAAACTAACATAAATGTATAAGTCTAATAAAAAAGGCACACCGTATAAAGTTTTCACAAATGCTAAAGCTCATCTGCAAGTTCATATATCTCCAGTGCAATAAATAATAATAATAAAAAACATCAGCTTGCATGGAACATCTTAATTATTTTGAAAGTCCTTTTATTATTGGGGTAAGAAAAATGGGAAAAATAGGAAGCAATGCAATTACAAATACTGTACTCACAAATTTCACTACTTTTGGCATTTTGACTTGACTGACTATACCACCACGTACATACTCTGAGTACGCACTAGTGTCACCAATACTGAATGTGTATGGGCCTATAATGAATAAACAGAAGTAGGTTAAGTCACTCTTGAAAGCCAAGATGACAAAATGCATGCAAATACATGTAATTAGTATATACACACGCAGTGATCTTGGTAATTCAAGCAATCTGATTGGTTAGCTATCTTGGACTATGACGTCAGTGAATATAAAGCAGAACAAAATCGCTGTCGTGAACTGGGTGTTTTTGTCAAAGTTTTATAGTAAAGCCTTTTTGAAAATACACGAATATCCAAGTGCTGATGACTTTGAAGGCAAGAAAAGACTTCATGGTGCTTAAACAGCGTGATTTATTGTGAAATGGTTTACTGTAGCTGACTTTTTGTACGCTCAAAGCTATGTTTTCCACTACAGAGGAAAACGAGATCGCTTTGCCACTGTTTTGTGCTTTCGGGATTTTCGCTCAAGACCAATTTTGCCTATAAATAGAAGTTAATTTATAAAAAAAAGAGGAAGGCAAATATTTTCGAAAATTGTACGTGCCAGCAAGTTCACAAGGCAAAGAACTTTGGAGATAAACAACGCTCACCTTGATCGTAGCCGCTCTTGATAGCATTTGCAAGAAATGACAAAGAAAACTTTCTCATTCACGGTGAGTTGACAGAAACAATTAAAGCTCTACTTTTCTTCTCAGAATTGGGTAGTAATTTAAATTTTCGGCGTTTTCTTTTAAACCGTTGATCCTAAAGCTTACAAAACTCGGTACAAAAAGATTAAAACTATCATTTGCCATGTCTGAAGATACTGTAAAGATCTAACTTTTGCGTATCCAGTGTTTACGGCTTCTCATTCACGCATGAATTCACCTGTCAATCAAACTAATCGTTTTGTCATGGTTTCCGTTCTGATTCTGTTGAGATAACTTCGTGTCAATATACTAAAACAATTATTCTCCTCAGGCTTAGTTAATATTGTTGAATAATCCCCTCGACTTCGTCTCGGGGATTATTCAACAATATTAACTTTGCCTTTGGCGAATAATTGTTAAATATATGTAGTAATGGGCTATGTGTCCAAAGGTGGATATTAAAATGCAGTTAAAAATGTTTTTTCTTGTCGGCTGGCTTCCAAAAGGGGCAAGAAATGAAGTTCAATCACTGAGTAAAACCTGGGCACAAGTTTCAATTTAGGGTATCAGTTTTCACACTCATCACATGATTTAGTTTTTGTTTCTTGCCAAACAGTGTGACAGTACACTGTACTTTCCTACCCTGCCACCCTTTGTTAATTCAAAAAAAAGTTTGAGTTAGCTTGACAAAAGTGTATCATTAATTTCTATTTTTCCTTTGCTTGTCCTAAAAATTTTGTGATGGTTGTGATTAAAGTGCTGTTGCATTGTTGCGTGGCATACAAATCACACTCGTTGTGTGAGAAATAATAATATTACAATCAGTCATTAATCACCTAAAACTTTTATTTCTCGAGGTTCACATTGATTCAATTCTGTCATTCCCTGAAACACAGAAAGAAACATTATGCACTCTGTGTTGAAGTATGAAACATCACACAAAATGATGAAAAAGAGGAATAATATAGTCAACATTGATTTTTGACAATTGGATAGAGAAGCCTGCTCAAAATTTTTCCATACATTTATTTTTCTTAAAACAAAAACAACTGGTTTGAAGGCAATGTATTGTGAACTTTCCATTTTTTAAATAATTGCTCAAAGTCTTTAATTCAATAAAATTTTTAAATAGTGTTTTGCAAAATCCTTAGAAACAAACCAATACATTGAAAGAAATGCTATGGTTTCATTAGCCTGCGAATGGCAGACATTTCTCCTCGCTCATCGCCACTGAAGGAAATTTCGCGAGGAGGAACGTCTGCAACTCAGCAAAAAAATTCTATACTGATGATGTAAATCAATGTTTACATAATAAATCCAGTAGTCATGGGGTTCCAAATGCAATTTTGTTCAATTTTACGCTTCTCCTGGTCGATTTTGGTGAAGTGTTGTGTTCATCTGTGAATGAGCTTCAGCAAAACTAAAATTAATGCTTCTTCTAGAGAAGACTATATTCCACAAAATATTGACTGTTTTGTTAGAGATTCATCCCATTTACATTTGACCTTTGTGGCCTTTTGTCTTTTGTCTGTCATTCGTAAACAATAGCTAAAACGATGAAACTACTCTGTCGATCAATTAGCTCTTCTGACCGGATTCCAGACAGATTTTACGTCATCAGCATGGAATTTCTGTCGTTGAGTAGCAGACGTTTCTCCTTGCAAAACGTCCCTCAGCAGTGATAGCGAGGAGAAAGGTCTGCCTTTCGCAGGCTATGGTTTCATTTGAATAGTAACACCACAGGACTTCCTCCACAGTAAAAGTGCTACTGAAGAGGTTTCAATGGCATTGTATTATGAATGGACACACCATGAGATTTCTTCATAATCTCAGTTAGAACTACATACTACATAACATGGATTTTGGGTATTTTGACAACAGGCTTTGATGTATTACAAGATGCTGTGTTTTCCAAAGCCATGTTACATTGTTAACTTAAGAGGGTAGCATTTGCATAGCCAGTCAACTGATGTCATAGTTGAAATGGAGTTGTTAAACAGGTTTTCCATGTGTGATTTTGCTAATTAAAAACTAAACAGGAATAATGGTATCAGGCAAAGACCACCTAAAAACCTTTTTCTTGTCAATGTTTGAACGAAATTGTAATTTAATAACTGTCTCTTATTACATGTAAAAATCAGGAGCTTCATGCTTATTATTACCTGAACTTCAGAGAAAGTCACAAAATCACCAGACTCATAACCATGCCTTTGCTCATCAAGACAAGTTACAACACCTTGCTCATCCTAGAAAAAATTAACATTATTTATTGCCTCATCCATTAGAGCTAAAAAAAACATTGCAGTTGTACAAACTAAACATTACTGCAAAATTACAATGTAAATACATACAACAGAACCAAAAGTCACAAAAATAAAAATTTTCACAACTCAGAAGTTTGACTTTTGAAAACAGGGTGCATAAAACCTTTTGAAACTGAAATTCGAGACTTTTTCCAGAATTAATAATTTCTTTTTCCAAACTCTAGATCATCAAATTAATCAGCAAATCATTGATGAAACCTCGGTACACTGCAAGCATACAGCGCATGTTATGCAGACTTATGTAAAAGAGTTCTGAAACTTCCTCATTCTGTGATTGAATGTTTTGGCTAAAGAAAAGAATAAGACAACTTCAAAAAAAAAATTCACTTTTAAGCAATAAAGCCCATGCTGCAGTTTTAAAACTCTAGACTTTACACTATGTTTCCCAGACTGGATTGTTGTTTTTTGGACTTTTCTCTGCCTGGTTTGCAAATTTCAAGACTTTTTTCAAGAATTCAAGACTCTCTACAAACCCTGTGAAAATCAAGAACAAGAATTGAGTCATCAGTGTACAGCACCATACATACCTTAGAAACAGAAGAAATCATGTTACTGACTGGCTGTTCCCCATTGGTATCTACCACTGTGAAACTCTCACCAAAATCACAAAATATTTGACTGAAATGGATAATTTCAGAACATAATATTCAGCTACTGCATCACTTATCAAAGAAAGTACATTTACATCTGACTATCTTTCCAACAGTGAAGTCTAAAGGACACAGATGTTAAGGGATGCATGAAATAAGGCCCAAGGTGACTCCTGATGTATTGTTGAATTCTCCTTTTATTTCCAAGCATACATATAAAAAAAATTGAAACGAAAACCATTATGTTTAACAGAAATCTGGATAAATAGTATTTTGGTTTTAACTTAAAACCTCTAAATTATTGTGGAGCAACATTCTATCCTGCCCTCACCACCAACTAGACACTTTAAATAAAACCATGGAAATTAATAAAACCATGCCCAGGTTAGCGTAGTAGTTTCCTTGTAATGCACACACTTGGCTCTGTCCCTAAGGCATCTTGAATAAACTCTAAACAGAACAGAGACTTACCCAAAAAGTCCCCTTGTATCAGCGATGATAAACTTGATACCCCGTGCATGACAGAAATCACCAACCCAAAGTTGCTCATCAAAGGTAGACTGTGTTAGCACTACAACCTATAGATATAAACTGGGAAATGAGAGGTTGCTCTTGCATTGTTTCTGCTGCCAGCTAAGGAGAATTGAAAGAAGATACTGTATATTTACACTTTGTACAAGTAGGTTTTTTTTACAGCACATGTACATTTGTACATACATGTATGGTAGTGGCGGTGGAAAAACCAAAACAAACCAAAAGAATTGATCACAAAAAAATTAATACAATATGATACTGATCATCGAAAAAATGCAAAAGCCTTTTTCATATCATTGTTGGCCTGAGAAGACAGCCAACATTGTGCAAGACCATCGCTGCTTTCCCTGCGATATGATGTCGGAAGAACAAGCACCAAAATTCCATACTGATATCATGTGTGTCAATAACCAGATTGGGGTAGTGCTTCAAATTGGTTTTAAGCAGATTTTCCTCACAGCACAACCTTCAGATTCAAGTACATGTAATAACAGGACTTAGGAAGTAACATGTCATCAGCATGGAATTTATACAGACATCCCTCAGAGGCTCAAGAATTATGCGAGAAACCAATTACAATTGTGGCATCCTAAATTGACAATTGTGCTTTCAGGCTATGGTGAATGGAAGAATCCTGCTCCACTTCCCACTTAGGAAGAGGGATCTAGCCTAAGTAGTAGGCATCAAAAGGGATAGGGGATTGGGAGGAAGGGAAAAAGGAAGGGGGATTCAGGAGAGAGGGCTACCTTCTCTTTTCCCTTTCGCCCTTTTTTCCTCTATCCCCATCCTCTCCCCTTTTTGCACCTGCCAAGCAGGCTAGGGGGAATCCAGTGATGATGATGAAGGAAGCTGAACTACATTGAACGAGTATGGAAACAGATCACAACTGCAAATTACACTAAATAATGGCATCTCTAACAGGTGATAAACAATGTATTAAGTTCGAGGATCTATGGATAACACTGTGCAGCAGTGCTTACCTGAAACTGTCCCAGGAATTTTTCTGTCAGCTGTTCGGTACTAACAGACATACGAACATAACTGTTGAGCTCAGAAATCCTTTTCAAAGATACCTCCGCTCTGTTTTTTCCAATGTCGTCAGCTTCAAGAAAGAACTATAAGAGGCAAATGAAAACAAAATCTCCATTACATTTTCCTTTAAACTCCTACATAATCAGATCTACAGAGAGTACAGTATGTGAATTAAGGAACTTGTTCTTTGTTTGTTGCTTTAATGAAATGAAGTTACAGTGTAGGTTAAAACTCACCTGAGAGGACAAGTCTGACATTTCAACATTTCCTGTATCATGTAGGGTAACTGACTTCACACCACCCAAGACCACATTTTTAGCTGAAGGTACAAGATAACAGTATTAATGTTAGTCAGAGAAATTAAGAATTTAACCACCAAAGAACTACAATCCTGGTCAAAACATTTGGGACACTTCGTGTTTTAGGTGAGGAAATGTAATTCAAGTTGACCCCCTCCCCCACAGAACAGTGTTGGGTGTTACAAGTCAAACACCTTTTACATATCTTGTACACTTTAAGGACCTCAACTTTGTTTAGGGAGGGGGGGGGGGGTGGGATAAAAATCTTGTTAAGGCTGTGTTTATGAGTGTGTATCGCAGGTTAGCTGCAAATTCCATACAAAACCAAGTGAAAAAGGGGAGGTGTCCCAAGACCTTTTGGCCAGGATTGTAGTTACAGTGACTTTAATAATAATATTTTATTAGGTCAATAATTTAAGGGTGATTTGTAAGGTAGAGCTTTAAAACTGACTTTCTAGTTATAATACACTGTAGGTACATCTATAGACCCTTTCATTGATACTGGACACGTTTTGTATTTTGAAAAAACAATTTTGCAATCCTGAGTTTGCTGTTTTCCATGGATTTGCTATACATTTAGATGTCGGTCTAATAATATTCTAGCATACCTATATTTGTATTGGAACAAAAGAAACAAGAAATCCTGCCACCAAACAATTCAGTAAAAAAAAAAGTTACGGGTTGACTGCAAAGACATTCTTCTTTCCTCGCTCTTCATTGCTAGAAAAGAATCATAGGGGATAGGGTCTGAAATTCAGCACCAAAAACAAATTTGGTCTGATCAATCTGGTTGTCATAGGATTCCAGATGTTTTTCCTGGTCTATTGTTGTAAAGTTTTGAGTTCTTCTGCAAACAAAAATGCAAGCAGTAGCACAGGGTTTTTCAATAAGATTTTAAGTAGGTGGCAAAAGCTTTGGAGTAGGTGGAGAAGGAAAAAACTCACAGCAAAGGCACAACTTGCGAGCCTGAAGGTGCAAGTTTCTGGAAAAATTTTGAAATCTGGGCTTCTTAGAATGGAGCAAAATTAGAGTGTTTGGACAGAACACAGACTATCATTAAATTTTGGAGTTTTAAACAGCAAAAGCACATGAATACTCTACTCAAACTGGGGGTAATTTCCAAAGAAAAATAGGCAGCAAGTTCACGTGGTATAGTCCGCAAATTTCGCCGACCACCAGCTCTTATTGAAAACCCTGGTGGCAAAGCTCAAAAGCTTGTCATCAGTACAAAATTTATAGGGCCAAAACATAGACGTCTATCCTGCAAAATGTCTCTTGGAGTAGTAAGGAGTGAGGACAGACAGCTATACTTGCAGGGTACGTTGGAGGTACGTAGCTTACCTATTTCTACTCCAAGACCTTTTAGTCCAGATATAAGAACATTGGAAACAGCCATTTTCTTCATGGCTTCATGGCCAAGTACATACCTAGACAAAAATACCATGATACAGTTTCTAACTGCCTGTATTGCACCAATCAATCATTGATTGGTGCAATACAGGCAGTTGACGAGACATTTTATCTATTGCTAACATTGTCACCCATTTTTGCATTGGTTGTCACATGCTCAAAAATAAACTTCCCTAAAAACTGGGTTCTGGTACTTTGCTTAGCCCACGGGCATTTGGAATTTTTACTGAAAACCCCGGTCTGAAGCTACAGTAGTCAAGCTGTGTTTAAGACACTACCTGGTGCCTTCGTTCCTGGTGATGTTTCAAACAGTGCAACAGGTATGCATCCACATATCGGTCGTTGGCATGATTAAATGTGGCGTGGCTTTCGTAGCATGCAAAGAAAGCAGTGTCTGATAGCCCAGGGCTAGTGAATTTTGCTATCGGGCTAGTGAATGCTGTTCTTAACTTGCCTGATGGGCAAGTGAAGTTTTTTGAAGAAGAACTGTGAAATGACGTTTGGGCTAGTACATGCTACCCTCAGCTTGCCCAAATGGCACGCTGTAAAAATGACTTTCTTTGCACCCTGCTTTCGTCACTTATAAGGCAACACCGCTTTGTAGAGGCAAAAAATAACCGAATGCACTAGTATCGAAAGCCATACGTGTTTACTAAGTCAGCTCATTAATAAATAACCAGCTGACTCGCCAGTATTACTCTCAAAACACTTTTACTATTGCATTTTATGAAACGTGAAGGCCATAAAAGGACAATATTAAAGGAATTTTTCTTCTTACAGTTGTCGAGAGTATAGCCCTTCATCAATCTGCATTTGGTTCGCAGCACTTCCGTTGCTGTCCATCGCCATGGTCTGTTCAGATGAAAGTAATATTTAAAAGAATAATCATTAAAATCCAGGCATAAATGTCAGCGATCTTCAATTTTTAAATTCTACGTCGTTTTACCTTCTCTGTGGAATGATTTTCTTGCGAAACTGAATTTGAAACACCACCCGAGTTAGAAGTTTTTCGTTTTTTCGCTGGAGGCGCTTCAATCGTCTCCTCAGAAAATGATGACATCTACTGCACTCATCAAACAAAATATCGGTTGTCTTTGTAGTCGAATTATCCCTTGACAATCTGCAGCTGTTTCTAAGGAGCTAAGACAAAAGGTTAGAGTCGGCAAAACCCGGAAAACTTGCGCACGAAATTTCAGTTTTCCAACGTGACTCCGCCGAGAAAGAAAGAGAAAGATAGCTTAGCGACCAGGCTTCTTCAAGCTTGGTAACCACACAGCTTTCCAGCCCTCTGTTGTGACGTCAGACTTGCCATGACGAAATATTCGTCGATATTGACGTATTAACGTTATTTTTTTCCCTTTCAAACAAACGGTTTTTTTTCTTCTCTGCTATTTCTTTTCAATATTTCTATGATTAACGCTTGAGAACACTATCATGATAGCGTCGATGATACCACCATGTTTTCATCATTTTATGAGCCCATGATCCTTAAAGCCAGCTGTTTCCATGGAAACGACAGTATGGAAAACAGCTCTCTTCGGGACTTTTAGAACCTTGTTTGCTCTCACACACTTTGTCTTTTGATTTGCAATACATCTGACTATTTTGAGCAAAATGTCTGCAGCAGAGGAGAGTACAGATAATCAAGGTGAAAATGAAGAGAACAGCGAGAAAAAAGAGGAACAAGAAAGTGATCCACAAGGACAAGTAGCAAGCGATCTCCCGCAAACCGCCGAGGAAAATGGCGGCGAAGTCGACGAGGGTTCTGCTCAAACTGTGGAAACCAGAAAGGTAGATGAGGAAGAAGAAGTGAAAGAAGAGAAGCAAGAAAATGTATCTGAGGTTGTAAATGTGAAGGATGATGCAGAAAATCCGGAGGAAAGGGAGGAAAAGATTAAAAACCCTTCGGAAGAACAGCAAGGCACACCAGTCGAAGAAGCTGAAGAAACAGCCATGTCTGTCGTTATTTCCGAACCTGATAAAAACGTTGAAACTCAAGAAGCAAATGCTCAAACCGAGGGGAGAGAATCACCCGTCGGAAAGGATGCAGATGCATCTGCGGACGCGCCATCTAAAGTGGATAACAGTGATAACAGAGTTATTGAGTCTCAGTCGGAGCGAGAGAGTGAAGCGCCTCCAGTGGCCCCTCCGACTTCACAGGCAGAAAGGTCCATTGATAGCGAGCTAGGTCATGCTGAATCTGCAGGAAACGTTAGGGATGGCTTCACTGCAAATGGTAAGCTTAATTGGTGATAAGTTTCTTATCAACAAAGTACAGCTGCTATACCATGGTACATTCTATTTTTTATTTACAAACCTCAAGGCCGATTTCCACGGAGAAATTTTACCTGAATCCTATTTTTTGAATCGGATTCAGGTAAAATGTGCGGTATAAATTGGCTTGCAGTTTTATCTGACTCTTTTGAATCAAATTTATAGCCTGCATACTTGTAGCAAGTGTTTCTGGGTGAGTTCGTCGAGAAAGTTGGGACAAGAGCCAAAAATGGAATTGCAGGGGAGGGGGAGGGGAGAGAAGAAAAAGCTTGCCTGCAAACCCCACAAGTTTGAAAAACTGCGTTCGCCCCCTGGAGTACCTATTGAACTGGTCTCTGTAACTATGAAACCAGAAAATGTTTCACCTAGCTGCAAAGACATCATTATTTCAATGCTCTGGGAGATGAATTTTTATTTTCAACTTTATGCATGCATGTTTTGCCTTTGTAGGAAAAAAACTGGGGGGCACGGTCCCGGCCCCTCCCCATGCTACAGCCCTGATACTGTTTTCTTTCCCAATAAAGTATCCTGAGTCAAGATTTTGGTGAATCCTGCTTGCATCAAGACGCTGTGCATTTCCCGAGTTCAGTCAAATCCTGGGTCTCAAGAGTGCCCTTCCAGACATTATTTCAGGCTATCTATTTGGTTTACCCAGCCTCTCCCTACATTTATTTAATGTAAAACATTAATAATTATTATTACATGTTACATGTATCTTATCCTCAGTCAAGTTCATTATCATGCCAGAGGGACATGTTCAGAACATGACATGTTCATTAAAGCAGTCATTTCTTGAGCTCAGAAACCATTTTGCGTCAGAGCTTAACCAGTTGCCCCAAATGATACTGATGCTTTTTGATGGTAAGTGTCACTTGTATTGTTGACGGTCATAAATTTGTAATACAATAATAATACTAAAAGCCCCCACCCCAAGCTTTTTTAGCCTTTGCTGTTGCTGTGGTTGTTGTTGTTGTTGTTTTTTAGGGATGGGGTCCTTAATAGAAAAGACGGGGTGGTTGTCTTTTATCTTTGTCTCTCAAAAGGTTTCACTATAGGTTATTTTTTGGGATGTTTCAGCCACTTACCACTATAGTCTTCAGCTTAAGTTTTTACTTAACCTCATTGCCCTTATTGTACATAGACTAGTAATAGTAGTAATCATCAGTCAAAAGAAAAATGGTTCTATTTCCAAAGTGACCGCGTCATAAAAAAAATGATAATATTTTTAAGTGATGATATAAAATTTCATTTTATCTATACATTCATATGGAAGTTTTGTTTGCGGACAGCTTAGTAATGTGGATGCACTACTAAATCCCAGGCAAAATATGTAGCACTACCTTTCACTTTGTCACTAGTTGTTACAGGTATGATAAGAGACTTATAAACTAAAATTAATTTTTCTGAATGTAACAAGTCAATGTTTCACCTTCTGCTGACTTTCTTAATATGCCTTTGCACTCTCTCCGTAAAGGGAAACTTGTAGAAGATCAGACAGTGTTATCTGATCTGGGTGTGCAAGGTGGACAGACAGTTCAAGTGGAAATCCAGTCTGCAGATCCTGTTAATAAACCTCTGAAGTATACAAAAGTATCACCAATCTACAAACTGCCAGACAAAGTCAATGTCAAAGTAGAAATTGGTAAATATATTTTATGTTACAATTGGCTCCTTTTGCACTCAGTAAATCAAATTACTCAGCTGACAGTGTGCCAAATTCTTATTTGTTACTGACAATATTATTATCAAAGAACACCAATCCCATCAAACTTCTGCTGTTTTAGAGACCTGCCTGGAAACGGGTCCAGCATAACATCAACTCACACAATGTACAAAATTAAAAATCACACCATTAAGTCCTATGTTGAGAAGGCGATCACAATCCTCTCTGAATGGAAATTCATATGTAACAACCTTTCAGCCTGAATTTCAGACAATTACTTTGAGTCGTTTTCGCTCCCTCAGCAATGTCTGAATCGACCGGCTGCTAATGCCATCCAGTGATGTCACTACCTTAAAAGGAATTTTCGTGTTAAAAATTATTTTTGTTTTTGATTTTATTTTCAGATGGCAGGGAAGTCGAGGTGGTTGTTCACATTGTGCAAGAAAACAGGAAGAAGCCATTCTTGGGAGGCTACAAACATAGACTAACAGGAGTAGAGTTCCATAATGCCGCTGCTCAAACAATTCCGAAGATCCGTGTACCATCCTCTGTTGAGAAGTTTCATCGAGATACCCAGACTTACAAACTTAGAAACAGAGTCCAGCAAACAACGAATACAACATCAACACAAATGGTATACCATGAGTTTGATAAAATTGTCTGTTAAATGCTTAAAGTGTTGCAGTTTTGTATTTTAATTTTGTTTCTTCGTTTATTAGACCAAAGATGGATGTTATGTATCAAATGTCACAGATAAAATACTGATTCCAGGCAGATATGTCACAGCTGAGGAGCATCACAGAAAAATTTTAAAGAAGGTCAGNGCTGTTTTAGAGACCTGCCTGGAAACGGGTCCAGCATAACATCAACTCACACAATGTACAAAATTAAAAATCACACCATTAAGTCCTATGTTGAGAAGGCGATCACAATCCTCTCTGAATGGAAATTCATATGTAACAACCTTTCAGCCTGAATTTCAGACAATTACTTTGAGTCGTTTTCGCTCCCTCAGCAATGTCTGAATCGACCGGCTGCTAATGCCATCCAGTGATGTCACTACCTTAAAAGGAATTTTCGTGTTAAAAATTATTTTTGTTTTTGATTTTATTTTCAGATGGCAGGGAAGTCGAGGTGGTTGTTCACATTGTGCAAGAAAACAGGAAGAAGCCATTCTTGGGAGGCTACAAACATAGACTAACAGGAGTAGAGTTCCATAATGCCGCTGCTCAAACAATTCCGAAGATCCGTGTACCATCCTCTGTTGAGAAGTTTCATCGAGATACCCAGACTTACAAACTTAGAAACAGAGTCCAGCAAACAACGAATACAACATCAACACAAATGGTATACCATGAGTTTGATAAAATTGTCTGTTAAATGCTTAAAGTGTTGCAGTTTTGTATTTTAATTTTGTTTCTTCGTTTATTAGACCAAAGATGGATGTTATGTATCAAATGTCACAGATAAAATACTGATTCCAGGCAGATATGTCACAGCTGAGGAGCATCACAGAAAAATTTTAAAGAAGGTCAGTACATGATTGCTAAAATTCATAATTTGGGGGCTTTAAGAGTGTTTTATGATTTAATAATGAGATTCTCTTTGTGTATTTCTGACAAAATCTATAAGCCACAATGATCGCATTGCCATCAAGATCAAGTTTGAAAACATTAGTTGCGCAATGTTAGCAAAGAAGTCTGTCAAAAAGTCTGCTGCACATTCAGAATTTTTGTGTTGCTTAATAGTTATTACAACAAGGATCCCAAAAGTGTGACCTCCTTCAATTAACCAATCAGAAGTTGAGGACCCTTTCCAGCTGGCTTCTGATTGGACTAAATCTGTATGAAAGGATGTGAATAAGTCAAAAACAGTCACTTTTGGGCTCCTTACTGTAAACCTGTTAACTGTTATTTGTTGTTGTCACCATGGTTACATTTCTCAAGCTTTCTATCAGTATTACTACACAAAAAAGTTCTTGCTATACAACAATCGTGTTGAAAAAACATTAATTTAGTGGAAAATGTGCGACAAAAACATAGTCTGTAGATATCCATAGAGAGGCTCAATAATCCTTTTAAATATATATTTGACATATTTTCCAGGTTATTATCCTGCAAACA